CTGGACATGTTTCTCTTAAACTAGCCAGCTTTGCTTTTGGGCTTCAGTTGCAGTTTCTATTTTGCAAATTCTGCAGAAAAGCTAAAACCAGAAACCTATTGAATGTGCAAGGACAAATTTAATGTATTCAGTGGCAATTCAGATCTTAAGCTGGTTAGTTATGTATACATTTCAGATATTCATATGCTTTTGTCAAAGATTTCAAGAGAGTGCATTCTACCTTGTGCACTGATTTTGCAGTTTGTTGTCCTGAAGGTCATCCCTCCAATTCATCCTGTGGCTAGATTAAGACACTGACCTAGATGCACTGTACATTTAAGAAACAAAGTTCCCTCTTGAGGTGAGAAGAAAGCTTATGATGTTTGCTCAATCTCATTTTTGAACTAATGTCATAGACTGAACATTAGGTTATAAAATTAGGCTCAGAGTGCCACATAAACAGAAGCAGTGACTATAATGGTTGAGGAACTGGGCTGGTACAGTGGAGATCCCAGTTCAAGTCCACCATAGTCATGGAAATTCACTGGATGATTCTGAGCCAGTCACATAATTCCAAGAAGTTGGCGTGGGGTAAAATGAGAGGAAAGAGCATTATGTATTCCACCTCTAACTTCTGAAGGAAAAGCAGAATATACACCTAATAAATGATATGGCTTGCAAGGCTCCCTGTTAGTGGGTCAGCTTTTTCATATGTCAATTGCTGGGGATGGGGAGACAGTGCAAAGAGGAAGATACCACAGACACCCCCCCCCAAATTAGCTAGCTGCCCTAAGTTAAGGTGAAAGATTGCACTAATCCTAACAAATGCTTGTTTAAAAAGTTGCTTTATCAAGTATAATTGGAATAAGTCTACCAATGTAGTTTTTTTTTAGGTTTTAAAGATTTAAATACTTAAATTTTATTCATGATTTCCACGTCAAACTGCTTTGTTTCATTTTTCCAACACATCAAGCAATTTTAATTCAAAAGCTCCATTAAATTATTGCTTAGGACTATATCACCCCCAAAACATTCTGACCATGCTACTTCCTTACAGTAGCTTAGCAAATGCAAAACTTCCCTCCCGCAGAAATAAAGTATATTGACTAATTTTAAATGATGATTATGAAATTAATAGATGGGAAATACATTTTAGCATCCACTGTATTTTGTACAGATTGGAGGTGATGCCTATACTGCAAATTCATAATAGTGCTACCCATATTTCAGGGACTTTATGAACACGAATGGATGGATGGATGGATGGATTTTCAATATGATAGTCTGTAGTTTAAGACAGGGGTCCCCAACCCCCGGTCTATGGACCAGCACCAGGCTGCGGTATGCTAGAAACTGGGTCATGCATCAAGCAAAGCCCCATCAGCGGGATGCAGGCAGTACGCAAAACCACACCCACTCCAGTTCACGGAAAAACCTCTCTCCGTGGAACTGGTCCCTGGTGCCCCAAAGGTTGGGGGCCACTGGTTTAAGATATCTTACTCCAGTGCTTTAAAACTGCCATGGAAATCCTGGAAGGTCTCTGGCAGTATATGGCTTAAGATTATTGATGCAATTGTGAGATTTGCATTCACTTCTGCCATCTAAAAACAATGTGATGGATGGTTTTCCAGTGATCAACCTATCTCAATTGTAAACTCGTAGTATAATAAATATTTTTATGAACCTCAATCCCTCCTATATTCCTCTTTTAAGCTGAGGATAGGACTATTAAGATCTGGTCAATAATTGGCAATATAACTATTGAATTTAAGCTGAGGATGATAGGACTATTAAGATCTGGTCAATAATTGGCAATATAACTATTGAATTAAGAGCAGATACTTTTTTTGGCATTTATACATTCACTTGCATATATTCAACCAACTTGTTCTTCTGCATCCCTTCTATAGAAAGGGATGTTTATATCACACCTTTTCAGAATCACTGCATCATGCTGGTGGGAAGTTCCTTTGGTTTATTCATATTTCCCATCCACTGTATATTCCATTATTCCAGCCCTTCAGCATCAGTCTTTCCAATCATAATGAGTACAGTAATCATCATTCAGTGGTGAATGCTTGCTATTTCTTTTAGAATTATCCATGATCCCAGAGAACTGTGATATATATTGTCATCTGAGCAACATCTAAGTCCTGTTAACAGAATAATAGATATAATAATAGATATGAAGATTCTGATTAAACTAAGTGTAGTCTTATATCTACACAGAACATGAGCCAACATTCACTCTCTTTGCTGGAAAAACTATCTGATGCTTTTGACTAATTGATGGTATCTCCTTTAGCAATAAATGACCTAAAACGTACCTGTATCTGTTGATCAATCCTCTATATTGGCCTGAAGGTATTTTGACTTATTTATCTTTACTATTTCACCTTGTTGTTGGACTACCTTGCATGATCTTCAGACATACCATAAAGATTAAATTGGTATGAGGTCAGGGCTTTAATTTAACCAGAGCAAATTTATGGATTACTGTTGTGTTGCAGCTGCACAATTTATTTTAACTTCAGCTCACAAGACACTTTGGCATCCTCCAGTAGAATTTTGCTGGTAGAATCTAGAATTCTTCTCTCAATGATTTATGATCTGAGACTACAAAGCTGCTTTCAAATCACGGTAACAGTATTCTCATCCTCATGCTTCATGGTTGTTGGAACGGATTTCATTTCCTCCAATTTACAAATGCCATAAAGTTTTATTTTAATCTGTCCACAGAATGCTATCTTGAAAGGCTACTGAACCTTTAGGATGGCCGTTAGCAAACATGAGACAGGCAGGACTAATGACAAGCATGTTTTTCGCCTTATTCCTCCCCACCACCCCATTTCATTCTTGTTGACTGTAGAAAATGCAAATATGCCTTGCAGATTCTTTGCTGTTATTCTGGAATACTTTGTGACATCCCATTTTTTGGGGGGTGGGGGGGAATGATTTTTGTTGGACAACCACTCCTGGGAAGAATGTGTAGACTGAGTGACAGCCATTTTTAGTAATTGCTTTATCTCTTTCCAGTGTCATACTGACCTTTTCTGACATCCCTCGAGAACCTAATGCCACATTAATATGCCTGTTAAGGGCAGGCTTGGCAAGTAAGAAAAGACATCTTTGTCATGTCATCTCAATGATTTGGAACACCTACATCCAACCCTAGAGAAAACTGGCTTATCCAACCGCTTCAGTATTATTTTTCTAAACAATGATTTATTGAGCTCAACAAGACAGGACACTGTTTTATGTGCTGTAAGAATTAATAGTTCTCATGGTATAAAGAGGGAGCTCCAATTATCCTATTTTGGACACATTACTCGAAGACCTAGCTCTCTGGAGGCTGTAACACTGGGAAAGATAGGACAATCATTATCAAAGTGGAGGAGTTCCATTACAACAGGGATAAATGCACCCTTGAAAGACCAGAAATACTAAGTTAGAGGCATCTAGTTGCTAAGATGGCACATAATAAATCAAGATAAATAGTAGTCTGGTTATTTTCTCTAAAATGCATATTTTCTACATCTATACTATGCTAGGGATGTGCTGAATGGAAATCGTTTGGTTTCAAGCATAAAACATGCTTTAAGAAATCCATTAGAAACACAAAGTCATGTTTTTCTGAACTTTGGCTTAAAGAAAATCCAGAAGGGTATTGTAGGTATCGAGCATAAAGTGGTCCACTTCATTTTTTCTCCAACTGTACTCCCAGCAGCCTCCCTTTTCCTAATGTGCCCCCTAAAGTGTTCAAATTCCAAGTACAGCCTATTTATTTGTTCATTTGTATCCTGTCTTTATTTTTACGAATGGCTCAAGACAGCAAACCTGTCCAACACATTCTTCCTTCTTTTTTCCCACAACCATCCTGGGCAGAGAATGACTAGCCCAGTCATCCAGCTGGCTTTCATAGCTAAGGTAGGACTTGAACTCATAGTTGTCTGCTTTCTAGCCTGGTGCCTTAACCACTTGACCAAACTGGCTCTCAATTGGCAACCTGTCCCTTCTCACCCAGATCTTCCTATTTTCTTCCTTTGAACTGCCACTCACCCCAAAACAGGTGACCAATATATGCATATTTTGATCTCTTTCATTTCAAATACAGATCCCAATCTACAATCCTGCTGAAGCTAATGATCTCATTGTTTTATTTACTAGTTTATATGTGGAAAATTTCACATTTCCAAGTTGCAGAACTTTTAAGGCTGGAAGGAAAAACCCTCCTTCAACTACAGCCACATTTTAATTTGGCAAGAATGCAATAATTCCTTTTTTTTTTTTTTAACCTTTTCCTGACATGCCATTACTATCCACCCTACAACCTTTGATTTCCTGGTGATCTCCTTTCAAAGCGTCAAGAGCTTTTAGAAATCAAGGCTGCAAAGTGATTTCTAAGTTATCAACTCTAGTTACAGATTCATATCAATCTTTGTAGTTGCTGGATTGTTTTTAAAACTTAAGTTGCCACATGCAAAAATAAGTCATTTCAGGTTTTGGCATCTTTTCAAGGAATCACCAATATTTTGGAACACAAAATGGAGATCAGTACACCTCACTCTAATTTGGGCACTGCTGAAGTATAATGCGTCACCATGAGAATGTCTTGGTTCAATGAGTCACAGCTTCTGCAATCACATTAAGAACAAAATATGCCAGGGGGATTGTCTTTGCTTCCACTGATTCTTTCTGGAGAACTTTACAATATCATACATTAAATATCTGCTTCATATATCTTCCTTAATGAAATGCAATAGATTGTTTCAGGTATAAAAGCTGTCAAAATCAATTGCAAATATTTCCACTCACTTTTCTAAACACTGGAAAGCCAAATAAATTTTAATTAATTTATATCAATGGCTTTCAGAATCAGGTATCAACTACTCTATTATTTTTTATTTAACAGTACAACTATTGAACATATAGATCAATACTCGATATTAAGCAATCTGCTATGAAAGCCTAATTAAACACTGATAAATAGCAACAATTCTATAAGCACAAGGCAAAACAAAGGCTTTGATTTGTAGCTTTATTATAAACTACAGATGAAAATCACAATATGCCAGATATTAAGCAGTCTCCTCTTTGGCAATACGGTCTTTCTTGAGTGGTCCCTGAAAAGAGGAGGAAAAAAAATCTCAATTTACATAGTAAGAACAATACTAGTTAAGGATACTTTAGGTGGGGTTTTTCCTTTTTGGAAGAGACAGAAAATACTCCATTGAACAGCAATTAGTGAGAAACTGTTGCCACCTACTGGACACCTGATGTAGCAATGTTTGAAGTTTAGTCATGTGGCTAAGTGAACTACATTGGGGTCCCCAACCTATGGTCTGCGGCCTGGGAACAGGCTCTTGGCCAGCAGGCCACAAAAATGGCTGGCCGGTGCATACATGTATGGGCCTGCATTCCCGCCCTCCCATGCCTGCAGCCCAGTTTGCACATGCAAACGAGAATGCTAGTTGCGGCAGGTGTCTACAGCCTGTTTGCGCATGCGCCACTAGCCCGGGTGGTTTGCACGGCCTGTTTGCGCATGCATGAACCGGCCACTGTCATGGGGGTGCGCAGCTGTTTGTGCATGCGCACAGTGCCAGCGCATGCACAAATGGGGCTGTGTATGGCCCCTTGCACCAATTTTGAAGCTGCTCTCCTTCCCTCCGGTCCATGAGCCCAGAAAGGTTGGAGACCTCTGAACTACATCTAATGTATTTTGGTTTTGGAGATTTTTAAATATGCTGGATGGAGTCCTGTAAAAACAACTTCAGCAATTATATTTACAAAGCAAAGTTTAATATATTTACACCTCCAATAATTAAAATATTGGAGGTGTAAATGTGTTAAACTTGTCAAGGATGGGAAAGAGAATAAATTTGCTTTGGGAATTGGACCAAATCAATTCCCATTTAAGATCTCAAACTTGTGTAGGTTCCTTTAAATAAATCTGTGGTAAGAGTTTTAAAGACAAACTCTTAAAAATGTAATTAATTTTTAATTTTGCACATAGCCCAGAGAACCTTAATATGAAATGGGCATGCAAAGTATACATACAGCTCTCAATTCTTAAAATTATGAAAACTATGGAAAAAGTTCAAAGAAAAAGTAGCCAACAAATAGGCTTTGTCTCCCCCATAAAGCCTTTGCAAATCCAAAAATGAAAAACCTAAATCAAGTATAACTGTACAGAGTTGAGTTTTCAGGTATGGAACCATTTCCGTCCTCCTGTCAAAATTTAAGTTATGCACTATCATACAGAAATGGTAAGAAATCCATATGGGCATCTATTCCAGATAATCTTCATTAGAGTAACAATATAGCTTCCAATTTATATTAAATCCTTATCAATGATGAAAGCAGAATTTAAGTCACAACTCATCTAGGTAACAAATTTTATACAAGCCTTGATTATTGTCTCAACAGTTACTCTATTGCTTCTGTACACTATGGAATGAATAATGCTGTAGATACAGTAAGAAAAAGGCACAAAAAAGGACAAAGTAAAACTATTATTTAAGGCAACACATTGAAAGGAAATAATTCTTACCATGAAAGCTTTCTTCTCTTCTGCTGTCTGGAAACGGCCATGGCCAAATTTGGAAGTAGTATCAATAAACTTCAGGACAATCTTCTCCAGGGCCCGACGTTTGGTCTGCACAAGCAAGGACTACATAGGAAAGTGGAAAGGATTAGGAAAAAAAACGATTTAACAGTCAATTTGGAAATCTCATTAGCCCTATTCAAAACTTTTACAACAAACCTACAGCTTCCAGCAAACCTACAGATCTTAAAGAGCTCTCCAATTCTTGGCTACAACTTCCAGAATTCTAGATAGCATAGCTCCTGGATGTACATTACAGGAAACACAGGAATCCAGATTAGAAAGAACTGGATAATATGCTACATATGCAAACTGTTTAGAAACTGCTTGATGCTATTTGAGTGCTCCACTGAATCCTAGTTGAAGAGAAATGAATTCAGACAGAAACTTACAAGAAGTGAGCAACCTGACTGCTTTCATACTTAAATCAGGTTTTTTTTTTTGGTTGCAGACATGATTAGAATTAAACTATGTAAGTCGGTTACTATCTGACTAGGTTGTTTCTGCAGATGGTAAATACTTGTTGGAAAAATCTGACTTTCTGGACAGGGAAGCAGAGGAACTTCAGCATCAACCACCAATGTCTTTGAAACACTCACCTTGCGCAGAGTGAGAACTCTCTTCTTGGTCCCAACAACACATCCTTTCAACATAATGAAATCATTGGTAACTTCACCATAATGGACAAATCCACCCTGTGTGGTAAGGAAGCAATATTTTAAGTTAAGCCAGTTTCCCTTATTTTAGAATCTATTCTGTGATTCTAACAAAAACTCAACTGATTAGGTTTTTTTTTTCAAGGCAAAGGTTCCTCCAGAGTAAGCAATGATCAAACAAAAACTACCAAAACACATTCTAAGGAAAAGGAATAAAAACTATTATAGTACAGATCCAACAGTACTGAACACCATTCTGCTTCATTAAAACATGGTTACCCTATCATTACTACTCAAGTTTGCTTAATTTCCAACTTTTAAACACAACTCACCAGAGGGTTAATGCTCTTGTCAGATTGATCATATTCTGTTGAAGCATTGTTTTTTATTAGCTTGCCATCTTTGATCTGGTAACCTTGTCCAATCTTGTAGATCTAAAAGAATACACAGCAAAGAAGGTTCATCAATACTGAAACAGTTTCTGAAAAACAGTACATACTCATTATTTGTTACCCTGCCATGTAGGTAAAAGACTATACTTTTTGTTCCAAGTATTCTGTGTGCCTGTCAGCAAATGCTGAGTGATAACCGCAAACTAAAATGCAGCTGAAAGTTGTACTATCATTTGTGGACTGCTGATAAACATCCATTGGATTTTTTTTCTGCCAATTGCCAGACAAGATTTGACACTAACCAAACATTTTACACACATTCTACAATATGTAGAATTAAATTTCTTCTACAGCAATTTAACAGTGACACTGCACTGCAACTCTTCAATTAACGTCAGCTGTCTTATGCTTTTCAAAATTATGAATCCAAACCCACTCAATAGGCCAGTATTCTCCCCAAACCAAACAGAAGCTTTTAAAGTAGAAGTAATGGTATTTCAAATATTTCAACTCATATTAACAGTGAGTACAGCCAATGCCAAGGGACTGTGGGAATAATGCTTCAACCTGGGGGTGGGTACCAACTGTTAAAGCACACCCACCTTTTTATTGATTTCTGTACGATGATGGTACCCTTTCTGACCAGCACGAGCCACAGAGAAAGCCACACGAGCAGGATGCCATGCACCAATGCAAGCTACTTTACGTAGACCCCTATGAGTTTTGCGGGGCAATTTTTTTGTATGCCATCGGCTAGTGACTCCTAAAAAGAACACAGAACTTGTCAAGTTATTCTGTTATTAGTTCTTTGAAGAGAAATACTAAAAACAAAAGTAAACTACCCAGGAAGCCTCTGCAGTTATCTTCTACTGACCACCCTGTTTCCCTTTTATCCTTCATTATGATGATGCTCTCAGAAGGAAGGCAGCATGGAATAACTCCTCATGGGTCTCAGGCACTGTGCCCAGTGCACATTCCATGTCCTCATCACTGAGCGGTAGTTTATTGCAGATCAATTTGCTCTCCTTGTCACAAAGTCAAAAGTTACCCCCAAACCTACATAATTTGAAAAAACCATCCTTACTATAGTTTTACCTAAACTAAGAGTTACCTTTATATCCCTTGCCCTTAGTGACTCCAATGACATCTATCATTTCATCCTGGCCAAAGACGGTGGACACAGGCACCTGCTGTTCCAGCTTTCCTCGGGCCCATTCCACCTTCTCAGCTACGGTGCCACCATTCACCTGGATCTCCATCAGGTGAGATTTCTTTTGTCGGAGTGGAAGCATGCGCATCTGAGGGACCAACAGAAGTAAATATGATTCAGTTTGTACTAGATGCTTCATTTTATTCATCTGTGAATTTTTCCTGCCATCAGATTAACATCTTCAATGAAATCATCCAAAAATGAACAATGTTTGTTCTAATAAAGCTGTGTGCTAAAAAGCAAAAATAAAAAAGCACCAGCATTACCAACTACTTTTTGTTTCTAAAATTGATGAACAGTTTGATTATAAGCAAAACCCAGATGATTAACAGGCAGAAGAACAAGTAACAAATACACCATGTGAATGAAATACTCAATAAAATTGAAACCCTTCAGGGAAGTCAAATAAAATTTAACAATGAAGTGTCCATTAGGACAATTTAGTTCCTATAGAACAGATGGCAACTCTACTTTACAAAGTGTTTAGTAATATTAGAAGTTAAGCAGTTTATAATTTAAAAATAGCAATAACAGCAGCAATTCCTTGGATAAGACTTCAGTGTCTGTAAATCTATGTGTGGAAGGAACACAGGTTAAGTACTCACCTGAGTATGGGCAATAACCCTGATGACCTGGCAATACTTCTTCATGCTGTTGAAGTCTTTCTCCAGCTGTTTCTTGCCTTCTTCATCCTGCCACTTCTTGCAGTACTTGGTAAAGGCCTTCTTCTTGGACTTATGCCTTCAAGGAGCAGAGCACAGAGGGGGATTGGCACAGTCCTTCATCAGCCCACCCAGGGAGGTGGCCGAGTGGAAGAAACCGCCAGGGGGTTGAATAGGCTCATTGCCATTGCTTCTAAGGAGTCTTCCACTGGCAAGCGGAGCCTGGAGCTCATCAGACAGTGGCCAAACTGCCAATGCTGAGCGGAGCTGCCACAAATGCCAAAGAACATTAGTATGTACAGAAATAATCTTGCCTTACATGCCAGGTTCACTTTAACATGAACTTCTTGTATGTATAAGTGGGAACTGCACTTCATACGCAAGACTCCAAATGTGCTAGTGAAAATAATTTCCTGAATTATCACTCATTTACCAATTATATGTCAGAAATTCTTGAATTACACCACCCCGATGATAGAAACTACACTCAGTACACTCGACAATCAGCAACAAACGCCAAAGGCGATTCCTTATGTCCGCCCGTCGAGAAAATCATCATGTGTAGCGCAGATACTGAATGTTTCATTTCTAAATCTTAAAGGGAACAAATCCTCCAGTATAGCTTTCAGTGCTCTAGTTCCAGACTGAGATTGTGTAATCCCTGCCAGAAGTACCATATAGCCAAATCTAATAAACTTTGTACTTTCCCACATAAGAAAATTCAGTTATCATACCAGTTCTTGTAGAAACGACGCTTGCACTCATCACTGATGTGCTCCGCAAACACAGTCTTGAAGGTGCGAAGGCCACGGGGAGTTTGCACATAGCCAACAATCCCAACGATGACCATAGGTGGGGTTTCCACCACAGTAACTGCTTCCACAACTTCTTTCTTGTTCACCTCTGTGAATCAGATGTTACTTAAGTTTTCCTTAAAGCACCAAGTTTTGTTTTCTTATAATTAATGGAAAATGCAAAAGGTACACCTAGAAATAATCTAATCCTTCAGTTCTGCAAGTTATTTTTTTTATTTATAAAATTTATAGGCTGCCCATTTTAACTCAAATTAAACTCCTTAATGCAAACTACCATGGGGAACCCAGTGGGGATTAAAAGATGTTTTCTTATATCTATACAAAAGCCAAACCATTACACAATCAGAAAGAGAAGATAGAACACATCAGACTTCCCAACTGTACTCCAACTGCAGTCTGACTGGCTAAGCAACTTAACTACAGTCTCCATTAGAAATATGAGTCATTTTGATGCTATGTCTTAATGATATACATCTTAAGCACTAGTGGCAAACACCAGTTTCACTCCCCTCTCCCCAATTTCCCATCCACAGAGTAAAGGAATACTTACTGGACCCAACTCTATCAACTTCTCGGACAATGTGGGTCATGCCTGCCTTGTATCCAAGAAATGCAGTGAGATGGATAGGCTGGCTAGGATTATCTTTAGGAAAGCTCTTCACTTTTCCTCGATGGCGAGAACTACGTTTGCGTGGCAGAAAGCCCAAAGAGCCATGCCTAGGAGCTGAAAATTTGCGATGTGACTAGGAAAAAAAAAATATCTTGAAACAAACCTCCACTGAACAAGAAAGGTTGTATTACACTCATTAAAATCCTTCCCCTAAAATAATTTAAGGTTTAAGATATAAATACAAGCATTATACTCCCAGGACTGTTACTACCCCATACGTTTATACATATTACTTCAAAAGAATCACTTCTATTATTTTTATTAGGTATAATAGTTTACTTTTGGTGGGCAAGAATTGCATAGATCTGTTTTTCTCATCCCTATGAAGAGAGTATGTGGATAGCTTTAGAAAGAATCGTAATCACATTCAAAATCGAGATCCCCCCCATGTGTTACAATTCTATTGTAAGAAAAACAGATAACCCTACAGGGTTTTACATATTTAATCATTCTAAAGGACAGTGAGTTAACTCTTGGGCAAGTAACTGGGGCTTTAGTCAGGCAAACAATATCCCATCACGGTACAGCATTGCCAATAATATTCATACAACTGAAAGAAAACCTTATTCTCCACTAATCCCATCCATTAATGGACGGATTCAGTAAACACAGAAATAACCTTATTTAAAGGCTTTAAGTCCTGCGACTTACTTTCCACGTGGCCCTGGGAAATAAGCTAGGCCCTAATTCGAATAGCTGCATTATATCCTGAATAACTAGGCCAGGTTCTTCATACAACCCAGCCAGCCTCCATAAAGGAATGTCGTAATTTAAATCCTCAAGTCTGTGTGTTTAAAGGGAGAAAGAACTAGTTATTTGACAGTAGGCCAATTCTTAGAACCTTAATAGGCCCGGGTCTGTCATCCAATGATGACATAGGAATTCCCAAAATACTTATCGGGGTACCTTTGATCAAATATGAGTAAGAAAACCCTGGCTTTTTACACTTAAGAGACACCCTCGAAGCGATGGCAGTAGATTACACATCGCAGACCCCACTCAACCACCTACCATTTTCTCTCCGAACCGATGCAGAAGGAAAGACAAAGGACGCGCATGCGCTATTTATCTCCTTTTCGCGGGGAGTTACGCCGCAACGCCTTTCTGGTCTTTTGCGCATGCGCCTTTTAAATCATTCGTAGAAATATCGCGAGGAAGGAAGTGATACCGTTGATTGTGGGGCGGAACTACCGGTGCTGAAAGAGGTTCAATAACGTCAGGAGACGGGCTTGCAAAGCGAAGGACCAATTAGGAATGTAATTCGTATCAAAGCTGACGGAATCAATCTCTTAGAAAATTATGTCTTGGTCTTAATCGTGCGGTGGGGGCCCTCCAAGACAGTCTCAGCTTCTCATGTGGTCCCTTGGGAAAATTAATTGTCCACCCCGATCTAGCTCAACAAAAAGTTCCAAGACCCAGCCCAAACCTGCAAGCTCAGACTTATTTGGAAGGCCCTCTTTGATGGCCTTCTACGTTACTAGCATTTTAGTACTCAAAGATATAGAACTTCTGGACTTGCTTTCATTAGCTATCTAGAAGCAGAGTACAGCCCTCTAAACGTACACAATTTTAAAAATCTAAACATCTAAGCTTGTGTAAGCTCCTGATTATTTCAAAGTCTCCCTCTTATACTAAAGAGCACTCACCAAAATCTGTGTGAAGCGTGCTTTTTAAAAATAAAATGTAGGCAGTTTTATAGCAAGTGTTCTACAGAGATATGGAATCTAATGCATAGGAAAGCTACATGGATTGTATGTGCTCTGTAATATGTTAAAAAAGAATAGCAATGAAAATTAGCATTAACTTTTCTTGGTAACTTCTATAACCAAATAAACTAGAGGTCAAGGTTATTTAAGGCAGTTCCATATGGGTACGCGCGCGCGCGCGCGCACACACACTGGGACATGGAATGTAATTTGTTATGCTTGTTTTTTAAAGTAGTAAATTTTAAAAAATTGGAAACAATCCAAGATTTCTTGAAGGACTGATCACAAATGTTCACAGAGAACAAGACAGGAGAGTGAAAATACTGTTAAGATGAAGAAGGCTGAATAAGAAAAACTGAGGAATCGCCTCTTTCTGATTATGTCTACCTGTCACATTATGTCTGACAAAAGAGGAATGTTCCGGATTCTGCCTGCTAAACAATGTCATCTGGTGCAACCCAGGAAGAGAGCTTTTTCTGTTGTGGTGCCTGCCCTTTGGAATATCGTTCCCCCTGAGTCTAGATTTGCCCTGATCCTGTCTGCCTTTCATAAGACCTTAAAGACTTGGTTTTATCATCAGGCCTGGAGAGTCAGGAGATGGGGTTGAGCCTTTATATTGGGTTATGTTGATCTGTGATTAATGGATCTGTTTCCTAAAGGGGGGGATTTTTCTCCGTTTTTTTATGCTTTTATATTTTCTTTTATATTATTAGTTTCCTAGGATCATGACTTTGAAATGGGTAGCGACTTAACTTGAAATAATACATTTATAAAAAATCAAAATTAAATACTTCCTGTCAATATTCTAGCTGACTATCATATAAGCTAGAGTTCATTTTAACTTTTTATTAGAATAAAATTTCTGAAGTCCCCATTGTACCTTCTAATTATATCTTCTTCATTTTCAGCTTCCTACCCACCCATATCTTCCCCCTTTATAGAGGTGAAGATGCATGCATCTGAATTGTGTTCAATAGTTATTTTTAAGGCTGATGTCATAAAATGCCTGAAGTTCAACCTGGCAAGCCTACTATATCATGCCCATATTTGGCTCTCTTTCTGATGTAATTGCTTGTTGGTGAGATATCTAGTTACGTAGAAGGAATCTCAAAACAGATGCAAAGGGAAGGAAAGAAATTTGTGCTGGAGTGAGTATGGCCTTACATATCAGGTGCCCAATTTAACAACATGTTGGGCAATAAAAGTTATGCAGTTTACCAACCATTTGGAAAGCAAACTATGACTCAGAGAGCAGAACAGACTTTACGGCTTCCCCAAGCCCAGCTCAGGGTACTTTGCTTCTTGATACATTCTTTTTTTGTAAAACTGTACAAAACACTGCTGCATCCTCTAACCACAATAGCAAAGCTAATCTTCTATTGGATCACTGTCCATGTGACTGGGATTGTCATTCTGTGTCACTTCAGCCAAAAGATGTCAAGAACATTGCGTTGCATTCTGCTTAGGAAGCTCTGGAAAGATGTGCTAGCCCCTACAGTTCAGATCATGTGGTGTTTCCAGGCAGTAATAAAGAACTTATGCTTTTATTGGGCCAATGCGTTACAATATTATGCTGCCAAATGGACTCTAGGATTGCTGTTTGTACTCCTGAAACAAAGAATGTTGCCAGATGCTTCATCTACAGAGCAACAACTTTATCACTTTGTGCACAATTGTCCCAAGGAAAACAATGAATTTTATCAGATAATGTTACGGCCAGTCATGAAGCAAATTGTGACCTCTCTCTTCCTGGGATTCTTGGATGGAGTTCAGGAAGCTGCCTGCTTGTCAATAGGAATATTGAAATATGCATTGACCCAACTTTTTAACTACATCAAGCCCATACAGCATTCAGTCCACAAAGAGGACATTTTAGGTGATATTACCTGTGTCCTTCCACGTATCCGTGTTCCCTTGTGTGCCCGTTTTAAGGGCTCTGCTACTTCTATTCTTAAAGACATACCCCAGAATTTTTATGTGCTAAAATTTGTTGTGGCCACAGAGCACATAGTCAGTGGCCCAGGCAAGTATGGTTTAGATACCACCAATATTCCTCTGCATGAAAGATTCCAGAACAATAGAATGAAGAATGACTTTTCATCTGTGCAAAAAACAGATACAACCGTGAAGCGAATGAAGGTGGCTTGCATGGTCTTCATTGCACTCTACCTTTCCATCTTCTCCAGTGTTATAAAGGTTATCAAATAAAAGCAGTCAAGATGTACAGGTTGTTATATGCTGGCATATTTTTTTTAATGCCTTGGCCTTAAAAAAATGTTCCTGGTTATATGGGAATGTATGTATGCTTTTAGCACACAACTGTAAAAATTCCCCATGTATTTTGCTAATATAGCATGGTAGGAACAAATAACTAGATTTTAGACTTCTCCATGTAAAATTTTCAAGAGGGATGTGAGGGCAAAAATGGTGCTTTAAGAATTAAACATAGATATTTCTGTTCTTAATGGCATATTAACATGGAATAATTAAAATTTTAAATAAAAATTGTCTACATGCAAAAGTAGTTCACAAATCACAAATGAATATATAGGATTTTGTGGTTTCAGTTTGCTGTATTGTTCGAACTGTTTTAATTGCTTGATAGGTTTTAAAGCGTAATATATTGGCTGGCATGAAGTGTGAGCACTGTGTTTTGTGGATTGTTAAGCAAACCATAATTTACTGGCTATACAAGCACAGACCTAGACAGGATTTATACACTGCACTAATCTATAATATAGCTTATTTGCAGCTTATGTGAATTCCAGCTTTCTCCCCCTCCAAATCCCAACTGACAGTTCATACTTTTTTGTAAGGTTACTTATGTGATTAATATTCTAACTGGATATTTAACATGTTTTAAGTTTAGAGGAGTATGCAAAATGGGGAAAATCAAGTTTAGAATGAAACATGAATGAAGCAGTCAGAGCAATAGGGTATCCTACATTATAAAATAAAATTGTTCCAACATCATCACATTATCTTCCTTATAATAAAATCCGGTGTACAAAGCTGATGTGGCATTTATCAGCAGTATCTCTAATTGTTATTCAATATAAATGTCACCCATTGATTTAAACAGATTTTTTTTCTATAAGTCATTGCATATTATTCTGCCTAAATAGATCAGTGTAAAACTGAATGTGTATTGAGAACAGAATTGATTAATTAATTCAAGACTATCAGGATTTTCTGTTTCACAACCATTTTTTCCAGCCTAAGTTCACAATTCCACTACTCAGCATTAATTACTTTCTAGGTTGCTTTGTGTCCTGCCTTCAGGTGCTTTGGAGAATAGCTTGACTCCCTCTTCTATGTGGCAACCCCTGAGATATTGGAACACTGCTATCATGTCCCCCCTCGTCCTTCTCTTCATTAAACTAGACATACCCAATTCCAGCAACTGTTCCTTACATGTGTTAGCCTCCAGTCCCCTGATCATCTTTGTTGCTCTTCTCTGTACTCTTTCTAGAGTCTCAACATCTTTTTTACATCGTGGTGTCCAAAGCTGAATGCAGTATTCCAAGCGTGGCTTTACCAAGGCATTGTAAAGTGGTATTAACACTTCACATGATCTTGATTCTATCCTTCTGTTAATGCAGCCTAGCACTGTGTTGGCTTTTTTGGCAGCTGCAGTACACTGCTGGCTCATATTTAAGTGATTGTCCACTAGGATTCCAAAATCCCTCTTACAGTTGCTACTATTGAGCAAGGTACCACCTATACTATACCTGTGCATTTGGTTTTTCTTGCCTAAATATAGAACCTTACTTTTTTCGCCATTGAATTTCATTTTGTTATATCGCGTCCAATGTTCAAGTCTGTCAAGACCCTTCTGTATCTTAAGCCTATCTTCTGGAGTGTTGGCTATTCCTGCCAGCTTGGTGTCGTCTGCAAATTCGATGAGTTCCGCATCTATCCCCTCATCCAAATCATTGATGAAGATGTTGAAGAGCACTGGGCCCAGAACAGAGCCATGGGGCAACCCACTATACACTTCCCTCCAGTAGATGCAGTTCCATTGAGGACCCCACTCTGAGTACAGCCGGTCAGCCAGCTATGAATCCATCTGGTGGTGATGCTGTCTAACCCACATTTTTCTATCTTATCAAATAGTAGGTTGTGGTCTACTTTATCAAATGCCTTACTGAAGTCCAAGTAAATTATATCCACAGCATTCCTCTGGTCCACTAATTTTGTTACCTGGTCAAAGAATGCAATAGGTTTTGTCTGGCATGATCTGTTTGTGACAAACCCATGTTGGCTTTTGGTAATGACTTTCTTTTCCTCTAGGTGTTCGCTGATTTGTTGTTTGATTATCTTTTCCAAGATCTTCCCAGGGTTTGAGGACAGGCTGATAGGTCTGTAGTTTCCTGGATGCATTTTTTCGCTTTTTTGAAGATAGGAACTACATCAGCTCTTTTCCAGTCCTCTGCTAGTTCCCCAGTGCTCCAGGATTTATGGTACAGTACTACAAGTTGGCTGGAAATGCAGGAAAATGTACAATTCATTTGGAGGGTATTAGGCTGAAGAACATTGCTTTATAATGAACACAATTTTGATATCTATGGCAAAGATTAAGGATGCTATTTCCGTTAGTACTTATATACTTGGTGTAATATATTGTTATTTGCCAAATGCAGGTCAACAATCTTTTTAGGTCAGTATCTACAGCATGGATTTAACAAAATTTACATATTGCATAAAGTCATACTAGTGTTTTGGAGGTCTAGCATGTTATGAACCCAGTCAATTGTGACTTTCTGTACAAATAGCAGGGAACTACTTTATGGAGACTCTTAAAAATGATTTATGTGAACAAGTTTTTCTATATAAATGGGCATTATTTCAAAAAAGAGTAGGCTGATCCACAATTGCTAATTTCTATCGTATAAGTCTAACAGCATAGTCCTGAATGTCCTGATCCTGTAATTAAATGTTAAATTCACAGCACAGGTCTACTTCGGAAAAAAATCTTAACTCCTTATTTACTTCTTTGTTATTAATAAGACTTGGATCAGTGCCTTCAGTTGTTAAATAGGAAAATATTTCAGAGTATGGCTCAGCCTTAGTAATGTTGGAGCACATATCATGAATAAGCCTGGGCACCTTCTACTGGTCCAGATAAAGCTTTATCTAGAGTAGATGTGGTTAAAAGCAATTATAATGAAAAATAGAGGGGCAAAGCATGTATAAATTAACAGTCCAATTTGACAGGCCGCAACTGCTTTTTTCCTACAGTTATAGAATACATTTAACAGAGTTCATAATCAAATAAAACTATGCTTAAAAAGCTAATCACAGCTTAGATTGTTCTATATGTTTATTAGTTTTCAGAATGAGATAGGTAAGAGTGATAGACAGTTTTCTGCAAGGTTCTAACTGCTATTGCTTTGTAAATCAAATAGTGACTAAAAGACAAAGGCTATTTTGTTTAGTTTTGCAACTTGACAAGTTTTGTAACTTTCTCAGCATTTTTATCTAGAAAACATTATCTGGTTTTTAATGAAAAATGATTTAGAAAATCTGATATTCCAAAGCCACCAGAGAGTTTCCTAAAGGTGTAACATTTATTTATTTGCATTTCATGGCTGTTCCCAACAATCCTGATGAATGTCTTCAGAGTGTGTAAACGGGACACATATTGTCATCTGCAGTAACTTAAATTATCTGTTCCTTTCCCCTAATACTTAAGATTTGCCCAAAAATGTTTTTCATGCTTGTTCCAGAGCTATTGAAATTCCAGGTATCAAAAGAGTTTTAGCTAAATAAATTCTCATTATTTTAAAGGCTTGTGGAGGGTTGCAAATGAATTATTTACCTCTAATAATAAAAGATAAAACCCATTTCAATTTAATGCTGCATGACCAATTGGCTAACTGGTTTTTCAGGGCCATTCTAATTCCTCAGCAAATAACTGCTGAACTGAATGACGAAAACAAAATTATGCAAAACATTGCTGAGCCAAGTTCAACCTGTTCTGCTGTTACATATGGCTACATATTGGCCGGTCTCTGCCATCACTGATGTTGAAAATGAACAAATATACATACTGGCAGTATATTTCTAGAAATTATTTTACTAGTTTTTTTTGCCATTGTTATTTTAAGTTTGGTAAAAGGTATCTGCTATTTTCCTGACAACTGTTTAGTGACTGCCTTGCCATCTAAAAATTCTGCAAGTAGCAAGAGTTAAAAATCTCTAACACTGCAATTCTGGGGACTTATTGTGAAATAAGCCCCAATGAATTCTGCAGGAGTTATTTTGGATCAAATTATCAGGTAAGGAGATGACAAAAATGAAGAGGCAATTCTTCCCAAAGTTCTCACAGTAAATGTAACCTACAACTGGATATCCCAAAGGTGGTTTTTCAAAAGGCAACTGGAAATGTCTTTTTCTTGAAGACATTTTGCTTCTCATCCAAGAAGGTTCAGTTCAGAACTGAAGAAGCTTCTTGAATGAGAAGAAAACATCTTCAAGGAAAAACAAAGAAATGCCAGTTGCCTTTTGAAAAAGCACCTTTGGGACAACTTTGACCTGGATGACTGAGAAGCTCCATAGACTACAGCTGGAATACCTAAAGTGACACAAAATGCCATGCATCAAGTTCTCCCAAGCTATGGAATAGAATTAGAATTAGAATACAGCTGGAAGGGACCTTGGAGGTCTTCTAGTCCAGCCCCCTGCTCAAGCAGGAGAACCTATACCATTTCAGACAAGAGACTGTCCAGTCTCTTCTTAAAAACTTCCACGATTTCTGAAGCCAAGCTGTTCCACTGGTTAATTGTCCTCACTGTTAGGAAGTTTCTCCTTAATTCCAGGTTGCTTCTCTCTTTGGTCAGTTTCCAACCGTTGTTTCTTGTCCTGCCTTCTGGAGTTTTGGAGAATAATTTGACCTCCTCTTCTTTGTGGCAGCCCCTCAAATACTGGAATATTGCTATCATACCATTTCTTCTTTTCTTTAGACTAGCCAAACCCAATTCCTGCAGCTGTTCTTCATATTTTAGTCTCCAGCCTTTGATCATCTTAGTTGCTCTTCTCTGAATTTTCTTCAAAGTCTCAACATCTTTTTTGTAGTATGGTGACCAAAATTGGTTGCAGTATTCCAGGTATGATCTTACTAGAGTATACATAAATATGGTGAGAAAAACAAATCTTTTTTTTTTTTAACCAGATGGATGGCATAGAAAACAAAGCTGTTACAGAATCTGGTAGCCCTGCTAGAAAACCTCCTCCCGGAAGGGAGCAACAGAAACAGACCCTGAAATGAGTATGTAGGGTCTCTAACAATGCTTCAAGCTCTAAACACATAGCACTTATAAACAGTGTCCTGAATAATGGGAAATGGGCTTCATATAATCTTCTCAGCTGTCCTTACCACTCTCTGTATGGACCTTCTATATGAGGCACTGCTACTGCCAAACCAAACAGAGATGCAGTTTGTTAAGATGCTCTCAATCATGCCTCTGTAAAAAGTGGCCAGGACAGGAGAAAGATGTACTCTTCTCACTAAGGATGATGTGTGGAGAGAGCAAGTCAGATTGTTAGTTATCTGCACCCCCATATACTTAATACAGCTGCAGCCTTCATACAGAGTGGAGCAGGGGTTCCCAACCAGGGTTGCTCGCACCCCCTTGGGTTTTCAAAATTATACTGTATACGCATAATTCATTGCTGTTATTTCAAACTTTTGTAAGGGGTGCAAGAATATATCAGAAGTGTTTTAGGTATAGAAAAGGTTGGGAATCATTGGAGTGGAGTATGGCTAAGCCGGCTTTCTAAAATCTACAATGATCTCCTTTGTTGTATTAACATTCAGAACCAGGTTACTTTTATTGTGCCAGTCCACCAGAGCCTATAAGCATCCTAATTGTCATCCCGGATAAGACCCATAACTACCGTGTCATCTGCATACTTCACAATATGATTCATAGCAGATTTGGCACAGCAGTCATGGGTCATCAAGGTGATCAGTAACAGATTCTAGAATCTAGACACAGCTCTGTGGTGACCCTGTACTCAGAGAACTGGAGATGGGGGTTGGAAACTTTCCTTCCAATTTGCACAACCTGGGGCCTATCAATAAGGAAATCAAGTATCTAGTTACATAAAGGAGTATTAAAACCTAATAGGCCCCATTTGTTCACCCAATTCTGAGGAATGATTGTGTTGAATGCCAAACTAAAATCAACAAACAGCATTCACACATGACTATTCTTTTCTTCTAGGTATGCCAAGCTAAGATGAAGCACACAGGAAAGTGCATCATCTATAGAGCGGTTCTTCCGATAGGCCAGGAGTGTCAAACTCACAACCTCACGTGACATGTCACGACATATGACTTTTTTTCTATTGCTGGCAATGGGGTAAGCGTGGTTTCGCCATGATGCATCTGGCCTGCGGGCTGGCAGTTTGACACTCCTGTGATAGGCAAACTGTAATGAGTCAAATGTAGGGGGAAGACATGAAACAATATAGTCCTTTTCCAATCTCTGAAAACATTTCATCATAATGGAAGCATGTGCAACTGGATGGTAATCATTAAGGCATATGATTATAGATTTTTTAGGGCAGTGGTACAATGATTGCAGTCTTAAAACATGATGGAACCACGGTCTGATTCAACGAAAGATTGAAGATGCCTGTAAGAACAATGGCCAATAAGCTAATTGCTGTGAAAAATGGTACACAAGGAAAGAGTAATAAAGTTCCATTTAACCCAGGAGGTCTATAATCTTGTGTCTTCTGTATCTTGTTTTTGTAAGATATAAGAAGAGCACATGTTTAATTATCACCTTCACGAAGGCCAGCACAGACCTAGTCCTGTCTATCCAAAAGAAAGCCCTTTCGCTCACTGGGTTATGTATCGGAGGACTGCAGTCAATTCCTAAAGTAGGCTCCGGACCCGAATCCGCCTCGTTAAAAGCAGACCGCATTCCCTGGAAAGGCCTTCACGGCCGAGGGAAGCGGAGCTCCGCAGCGTCCTTCCCACCTTTCCCCGCCCTCCAAGTTGCTAGGATGGAGGGTGCACGTAAGCGCGTGCCGTCACTAGGACTCGCGGCCGCCCCTCGGCTGCTGCGAATCGGGAGCGCGCCTGGCTTCCTTCGGCAATCCTGTGTACCTTATACGTGGGCTGCTTTTCCCACCCAGCCTTAGTTGTCGCCCGCGAGTTTCTTGGTTCAGTTAGGCAAGTGAGGCAGGGAGTAAGAAGTGAGGGCGGGGCTGTCAGGCAGAACTAACTCCCAACCAGAACCTCCCGACCTCGCACGCGCTTCACTTCGGCACCGTTCCCTCCGCTGACACCGCCGCCGCCTCTTTCTGCGGGCTGCGCTCTGGTTGCTGGAAGGCGCAGCCCGGTTTCTGCCCTCTCGCTGAGCATCCCTGGTGCAGTAAACTTTTCTCGCCGAGGGAATAGCTCAGAGGGAAGGCAGCTCGGCGGGTCTTGCCAGCGGGCTGCTCCGAGGATGGAACCGGGCGCGTATGGAGCTGGCAAAGCCGGAGGCGCCTTTGACCCCCAGACCTTCATCCGGCAACCTCACACGATCCTCCGGATAGTTTCTTGGGTAAGGAGGCGCTCCTGGAGGCCACCAGGTTGTGAAGGAAGGCTGAGCTTTCCGGATCGAGGGGCTAGCCCAGCGCGTTCAAAGCCTCCCGGACGCTTGAAAATTCTGTCAAATGTGGCGCAGGCGGCTCGTTTGCGGAGAGACGGGCTGGGAGCGGTTGGGGTGCAAATGTAAGCAAACCTGACCGGAAGATTTAAAAGGGAGCCGCTCGAGCAGGAGCCATTGACATTTGGTGGGCTTTAAGCCGTGTGTGCCCTTTTTCATATGGGCGGCGCGAAGCACATTATGGAGGCGATTAGGGCTGCCCGGTGGGGCTGGCTTGGATTGCAAAGGCCCAGGTCTGGCTCGATCACTTTCCTCTTGAAGAGCCTGTAGGGCAAAAGCGAGCTCTGGGGCGAGCGGCAGAATCAGACGGCGTGTGGTGACCTTTAAGATGGGGAGGGAGGTGGGATCACCTTCCAGCTTGGGCCGCTGCCTCCTTTTCTGCTTTCTGTCGTTTCTGCGGTGCAGCCCCTAGCAAGGGTTGTTTTGGCGGGTGCAATGTTTGTAAACTGATACTATGTTATACAGACTCAAAAAGCAAGTGGTAAGAAGGATGAAACATAGTACAAGGATTCGGTCCCCCCTCTTTTTCCGATCACTAGGAAAATGAGGCTTAATGATTTTGTGTTTGGGAAAGAAATGACAAAACTTGTTTTTTTTTTTTTTAATGTTGGGATCTGTCCTTTGCCTTTCTCAAAAACTTTTTTTTAAAAGGTGATTCAACTGGTTTCCCCCACCCTTCATGCTGACACCACTATTAATTTTGATCAAAATAAGGAAAGTTTTACATAAGAAGGAGCTGTCTTATGGATAAAGAAAGTTGGACTGGGGAATTAAAAGAATAATGGTGAATTTTCTGTCCTCTCTGAAGCCCCACTCTCAATGTTTTAGTTTTCTTTTTCAAGATTTGCAAGAAGGGTTGGAGATAAGGAACTGAGGAGGGGGAATATATGAGGGGTGAAAATGTGTGTGATTCTTTAAATCCTCTCTCAATTCCCTTAGCTTCAATTTAAATATTCCTCCCCCTATCTATCTATCTATCTATCTATCTATCTATCTATCTATCTATCTATCTATCTATCTATCTCTACACAAACACATATATTTACATTCAGAGAGCATTTTTTTATGTAAGAGCCTGTAAATGTAATGGGGAAAGTGATGGAGATATAGCCAGCCAATCCAAGGAAAAAAATTCCTTCCTGTACATATTTTTTTTTCTTTTGGAACGGCTGAATCAGGTCATTCCATCTTGTGACACTTTGCCATGGCTGCTGTGCACCTATAGTGTTTGCAAGAAGGTCATTTAGATTAGGAGAGCAAACTGCAAACAGAAATCTAGAAAGAGCTTTTGTCTCCGGTGAGTGTCACAAGGAGAGAAAAGGAGGACAGTGTGACATGGAAGAAATTACAGAAATGGAATGGCTTCCTCCCCCTCCCCCAACCGATCAAGGAAGGCAGACTGAGCTGAGGTTGATGTAGATATGGCTTAGGGCCTGGAAATCTGAGAGACCACTTATCTCCAATTGTTTCTGCCTATGTTCCAGCAGAATGGATATGTTCCAGGTCTCCTCCATTAAACACTGTCATATTGTGGGATCTAGGCGGGTATGATTTCTCTGTGCAGCCCTACCCTCTGGAACAGCACCCCCTAGAGTTGAAGATCTTCTCTCCTAGGGTCCAGAAAGCTTTAAAAATTTGGCTTTAGTCTCAGGTGAGGGGTTGATGTTTTTCATTGTTTAATGGCCCCTGTTTTGTTGATTTTGTTAGTATTCTGTTGATTTAATGTTTTTCTATTTTTTAATGCTTTTTAATTTTGTACACCAACTTGGGGTTGGGCAGCCAATAAATTCAAATAAATATTTAGTGTAGCCTTTTACTTGACATCCATTCAGATCTTTAAGAGGAAGCCAAACAGTAGGATCATATGTGTTTCCTGTCTAATCCATTCCTTTTGGGAGTTTTCCAATTTTTCCTAGAGATAACAAGGACTGGGGCCTCTTGTCTGCAAAACCTCTCCTCTGCTATTATCGTAATTAGCTTAAGAATGCAGCAGCTAAAAAGGCCAGTGCAGTTGGCCTGCATTAATGTTAGCCTTGCATCCACATCACAGAGTTGCTGTACTCTGCAGTGAGTAGATTGCACTTGGAGTATTGTGTCCAATTTTGGCTGCTGCATTTTAAAAGGGCCACAGAGATACTGGAGTAAGTTCAGAGAACTGAGTGGTGTTTAAGCTCCAAATAAGATGACTAGAGGAGAAATGACAATGTTCTACAATATGTAAAACCTGTTTGCACATGAATGTGGAAAATACTGAAAGGGGGGGAGGGTTATGAATGAAATCCTACCAAATTTCTATAGATAATTAATGTGGCTTGTAGGACTGTCTCTATCCAGAGAGAATTTACAGTAAAGCATGTTTACTTTTCTCATTAGAAGGGGGAAGGCAGTTGGCTCCCAGCTACTGCTGAAATTCAACATGAAGTGATAGGAAGAACCTTGTTGCATGAATGCTTGAAACCTGCATGAGGCAAAGTGACAGAAAGCCCAGGTGATAACACAGCTGTGGTCAATTACAATTAACAGAATTGACACCATGCATCCTGTGATGGATGTTTCTGTTCTTGAGAATCTAGGACAGAACATTCTTTGATTTAAAGCTGTAATTTCATTTCATTACTACAGGGCTTCGCTAAGCCAAGGAGAAGAGTTTTTGCAGCACGTTGCTTTCTGTTTCGGAGTGCTACTTGCTGACTTCTTCATGAAATGAACTCCCAGTTGCAGAAAGTTGCTTAGCATCCTTCTTAAATTTTCCCCTTGGATGTGTCCATGTTTCCCCAGAGTCATTAACTGCATATTGTACCTTGACCTTGGAAGTGACTTTGTTAGGTCTTTATTTCTTGTTATAATACTGTTGACTTAATAAACAAAGGATTATAGAATAGCAGTAACATTTCCAGACCATTCTCTGTATCTTTATCTGGGATGAAGTCCTCCTGAGTTTGTGAGCTTATCCAAATTACATGCTTATAGGACAAACATTTCATAAATTGAAACACAAGCTTAAAGGAGCAAATTAAATAATTGGCTACTGAAATACAACTTTTTTCCTTTTTGTTTGGATTTTTTTTATTCCTTTGTGGCAATAGAATTCTTCCCCTATCCACTTCAGCTACCATACACTTTGTCACAAATTTATAATCAGTGCAAATTTAAGCATATTTAGTGATATCTTAATAAGTTTAATACAACTTGCTTCCACCCCTATTTTAGAATTATATCAATGTTATGAAAAATTACTGATGTAAACATTACATGGCCAGAAGAGGTGACAGCTGCCCATTCAGAATTGTTGAACAAATAAAGTGCAAATATTAATCCTATTATATTTTTACAATATTGATGGGGGCTTTATAATAGTGATGGGCTACATAGAATTTGTATCCTGTGTATTGTTTCTAGAGTTTGTAGATTCTTTTATTTATTTCTCTGCATCTCTAGTGTTGTGAACTAAAACATTTAAAACTAATGAATGCTGAGAATGAGTTTATTTATAACAGAGTACAAAAAATGTTGCCTGAAACCATGGGAAATCAGTTAGCATTCCTTTTATGTGGCCAAACCTAACAGAATGATGGGAGCCAAATACTTGGTTCCTTTTTGTGTTGGTGGTAGCTGTGGTAGAGCTGGAAAGGGATTACCTTTTTAATCTTTCAGAAAAATATATCCTAATATTCTGTTAGTAACAGATAGACTTGGACTAAATGCAGGAGGCAGAAGAAGACAGTCTTGGTTAGTACAAAGTAGTCAGTTTTCCAGAGCAATTCACTATCTTGACTGCAGTTATTGTAATAATAAGCAGAAGATAAAAAAATTAAGTTTGATGATGATTAAAAACCAACTTATATGTGGCCTATTAGATGATGGAACTTACAGTTGTATGTATTAAACTGACAGCTAAACTGTACTAAACTGACAACATGTTTGCTTCAACCTTTCACCCTATGGGCATAATCTTCTGCTGCTACAGCATTCTTTCTTCAGCTTTTATTTTTAAATTAGTGGTATACCTGTAAAAAGATGCCATAAGAGACAAAACTCTAGTATTGTTCGTATCTTTAGGGGAAAGCAAAGCCTGTTTCCTATTATTTCAGGTCAATTTGAGTATTGGAATTATATTTAGGCTGAACCACAACTAAAAATTTGAATCATCTGAGCAATTTTTGTTTACAATCACTACTTTGTTCATTTTTAATCCCTGAAATAGGCTAATAGTAGTTATAGTTTTGGAAATTGACAGTCCCATTTTCCAGGCCTTCGATCTATTTAGGTAAGTGTAGAATGTAGTATATGGCTTGGATTCTCTGAGAGATGCATATTAAATGTTTGCTGTAATAAGATATGTCTGTGGCATGTTCAGGTTTCTTAGATTCCCTGGAGAGCTGTTCATCTTACATTTAGAAAGTGAACATAGCACTTGTCTGCAACTTTTTAAAGCACCTTTATCATCCAGTTCTTTTTTTAAAATTTATTTTATTATTTTTTTAACATAATCACCATTAATAATAATTTGTTTTTATAATTCCATACTCCACATAGCTTTCCTTGATTTTTTTCTTCTTCTAATAATATTCTCTTTTATCAACCTTAAATTAGTACATTTCTTAGTATTTTAGTAGATAAAAATTGAATATAATTTTTCTACTATTTCTGCAAGCAACAACCACATCAATATGAAGCTTCTTTTCTAATTAATCATCTTAATCACCTTGTCATAGATCCTATTTTTAAAGTTATTTAAATTTGTTTTCCCTACAATATTCAAAAACATTTTACCTGTTAAGATTTTCTTAGAGTTAATTACACTTAAATATTTAAAAAAATTTCTCATACAAGCCATCCCAACAATTTTACATTTCTCATATCTTAGAACAAAAACAAAAAAAGAAAAAAAGAAG